AATCCAAAATCTCTATAATAGATCGTCATATCTCAAATGGCTCCCAACCTACGACCCCTTAACCGTAGGTCCATCATTCTCTCCATTCAATGCATACTTTTCCAGAGCAACTATCCTTCTCATTCTTCTCTAAAATTCCAAATAAACTCCTCCCTCAGGGCCATTCAGTTGCTATTCTTCCTACTTGGAATTCCATTTCTCATGACATCCAATGATCACTTTCTCCCTTCCTTCAGGTGTTTGTTCAAATGTGGCCCTACTCCATAAGGCCTTTTCAGTATTGCTTAATTTTGAAATCAGAGTTGATCCTTCAACAATGCAGGGATTGGGGCACTGACCCCTGGCACAGTTGAAAACTTAACTACAATATTCTTATTATACTTAATAACAACTGCTTACCAGTTTGTGACCCTATAATGTTGGGGTGAAAACATATACCCCAAAGATTACTGCCACTGACATTCTTTTGGGTTGTGAAGCAAAAGACTTTCACTTGGCATTATTTTTTCAGATGTGAAGCTTGAAACTAGTTCATTTGAAAATACTTGTTAACATAGCAAAATATGTGTTTTTCTTTCAAATTAAGTTTCATTCATGTCATGTTTTTTTAAAAAATATGGTAATAAAAGTGTTTTTTACAATAAAGTCAATTTACTATCTTTACTGAACAATTGACTATAAGTAAATTGACTATAAGTAAGTCAATTTACTATCTTTATTGAATAATTTTACTCAACCCAGTCTACGAAAGCCTTTCCCCAGTACTGCCTGTCATCCTGTTTCTGATCTGAGTAGGCCTTCCTTGTGACTCCCTACCTCCGTGCCTTCGAATGTCTAGAGTGGATTCACATCCTTTGCCAAAACTCTGATTGAGATGTCAATTGTATCTCCCTCCTCCACCCCACCCTTGAATTAGGGCTGGTCCTGTGACTGATCCTTTCCTAAGTGAGTCTGTGCCAATTCTGGGCTTAGCCATTGAGAGGACTTGACGGTTTTTGTTTTGTCCCTCTTGGAATACAAGTCCTTGCATTGCTCCTGCTTGGGTCTTAGCCACCATGTTATAGAGGCTCAGGCCATGTGCAGGGGCCATGTGGAGAACTGAGGAGCTCCAGTTGCCTGCTGGGATGGTCTTCCTGCTGACAGTGCTGTAAGGGAGCCATCTTGGCCCAGAGCATTCAAACCTGCAGGCACCAGCTTATGTCACAGGAAGTAGAACCACCCAGTTGAACTCACTGGATGCACAGATTCACCAGAGATTTAGCAAAATAATTACTGTTTTAAGTCCTGACATTTTCAAGTAGAGATGTAACCAAAGCAACATCCTTCTTCCTCTTTTAAAATAGGGCTTAGGCGTGGGTCAATTTAAGATTAGTACTGAATAGATTTTTACTTTATTCCAATTGTCTTTATGTTGCATTTTCAACTAAAGTATAAGTCATTGAGGGTCACAGATATTGTTCTGTTTTCTTTCCATATGTCCCTATAGCTATCAACACATTACTAGCCACATGAGACTGATAGCCTGAGATTGCCAATTAAATCATAACAGAATGGAGGTGCAAACAGTCATAGAAAAGGGGTCTTTTGGTAGAAGTCAGATTTTAAAAGACCATGTCTACGTTTACATATATCTGTACATACACACACACACACACACACACACACACACACACACTCATTTATATTGGCATTTAATCTGGATTATCTGAGCAAAGGAATTAATTGTCATCTAGAGATTTTTTGTTTGTATACTCAACCTAACATACCAATTTAGTGAGAGGCATTGTCTCATGTTGGTAATTTACATGTGGAACTGTAAAGAAGACCAGATCGAAGAGAAAAGGGAAATTATGCTGTGAATCAAAAATAAGTAAATAAATTCGACAGGAAAAAAAGCCAAAGTGATGGTCTGGAGCTACACTGTAAAAGCAGAGGTGAACATAATAATTTTTTCCTTTCAGTTTCTACCATGTATTTTGTATGCACTTAATTAGGAAAGTAATAGTTATTGTATCCATTCACTGTAATGAATAATGTTCTGCAAATGGGTACTGTATACGAGACCATTTACTAGTATAGTAATAATGAAACACAATTCAACTCACCATGTTGGGTTTAACAAATAGAATGATAAAATGTCTATTTCTCATCCAGGACTTTCTTTTTTAAGGTATGGAGAAACTGGCATTATTTAAAATGTAAGGGATTTTATTTTTTTAAATACAAGTACTTTTGAGTTCTTTATGTTTTAAATTAATAGTTCTACTGATAAGTCAAAAAATAACCAGTATCTTTAAATAATTCTCCAAGTTCCTTTTCTTGAGGACCAGACAATCACCCCAGGAAACCTCTCCCTGCTGTGTGGCTTCCCAGGATTTATATTTCTATGTTTCAGAACTGCATTTGCTTGGAGAGAAAAGGGTTAGAAAATAATGCAGAGTACAAAAGGCATGGTGTGTGTGTGTGGGTGGTGGTAGCCAGGCATCGAGTCCCTAGCTCTGTAGAGTCTTAAGTTGCACTTGTGTAAAATTTAAAGGTAATTGGCCTACATATAAAGGACACATCAAAAAACATTTTTAAATGTGTTTTTATGCTCTGAAATGCAAGTGATTCACAAAAACAAGTATCACAGCATAAAGCTTTATTCATGCAGTCATACAGGTGTTCTATATCGTTCAGGTACATTTTAAATTTATAACCTTAAGAGTTTAAGGTATAACCCTTCACACTCAAGTCTGTGTCTTTCTCAACTGAGACACTAGAGCCAGAGAGAGTAGAAAGGGGAGGGAGGAGTGGGAGAGAAGAAGAGTGGGGAGGGACAGAAATGGGGAAGAGAAAGAATAAATAAGGTACCGAGAAAATACCATCAGAAGTCCGCTGTCTCACCTACCCGAAGCATGTCTATTTCAAGTATATGAGCATCATATCTAGGTTGCAACAAAGAGGTGGCCGCGGTGTGTGTTTCTGGCTGAGACAGGCTGCTACAGCCTGCACTGCATGCGTGTCTGTCGCCTCATCTAAGTCCCCAGCCTTCCGGAGGTGGGAGCTCCGTCCCGAGAGAGCCCAGTGCACGGTGCCAGGCGCGCCGGTCCCGTGGCGAGGCTGCCACAGGTCTGTGCGCGTGCGGGCCGGGGCGCTGGTGCACCGATACGTTAGGGGGAGGGAGGAGTACCATCCGCCGGAGACTTATCTGGATGCCCCCATTTCCCGGCCCCCACGGAGGAGGGTGCGAGGACGGGCAGCCCTCGCAGCGGCCAGCAGCGCGGAGTGCGGGCGTGCGAGGCACAGGGGGAGCGGGCGACACTGCCGGATCGTGACCCGGCCCGGGCGTTTGCAGACCCGCACGGCCGCCTCGGGTCTCCGCGCTGTCCTCTAGAACGTGCTGCCTGACAACCCTGAGCCTCGGCCCTGCCTTGCTTCGGGATCCTCTTGCTCCTCCTTCCCCACCACGTACCGGGCCAGAACAGCGAGACACGCGGCCGGCCGGGAACCCCTCGCTGCGGACGGACCCAGCCCTGGGTCGCCTCCGCCTCCCGCCGCCGCCGCGCTCCAGCCCGCACCATGGAGGAGCCCCTGGTCAACTCGCGCGCAGCCGGCGACGTCTCCCCCAGAATCTCCGGCCTGGCGCCCTCTGGGTGAGACGCCCGGGGTGGGGGCTGGCGTCCCTGTCGGTCCCAGGTTGCCCAGAAAAGCCCTGGCTGGGAAAAGGGGATCCGCGCAGGCGGGGAGCTCCGCGTCCTCCTCCGGCAGCGTCTTCCCCTCCTCTCCGCCCCCGCGGCGGGGTTTGTTTATGTAGCATCTGGAAGCGCGAGGACTCGCCCTCCCCTCCGGGCGGCCCGCCCTCCCTCCCGCTCGGGGCTCCCGCACGTGGTGGCACCGGCAGCGTCTCGGCGGCAGGCAGGCGACAGCGACGGCGACAGGCGCGGGTGCAGGCGCGGCGCATCTCTGCCCAAGCCCGGCCCAGCCCCAGGCTTCGCCGCGCTCCGTCCCCTGCCCGTGAAGAGGCGGCTTCGAGCAGCGCCCTTCGGTGCTCGCGACGCCCCCCGGGTTCGTGGGGCCGCGGAGAAGAATGGTGACATGAACGGCGCAGCAGGAGCGTCGCCGGGGCCGGGGAGCGGCTGACGGGCAGCGCGCTCGCTTGGCGGAGGATCACGTTCCCCAGGACGCGCGGGCAGGGACGTCGCGGCGCCTCCTTCCCGGCTGGACCCCGCTGGCATCTGTAGCCGCCTCTCCTCCGTTTCCAGCGTCGCCGAGCCGCCGCCTGCTGGGAGCGTGGAGACGGCGCCGGGAGGCTCCGGGGCTGGTGGACCTCCCTCCGAACAGTTCTGCCCCGGGTCCGTGTGCCGGGCCCCCGTGGAGGGGCGTGCCGAGCTTGAGTTCAGGTGGGTAATCCCGAGGGGAGCACAGGAGGAGGTGTGCAGGGAAGACGAGGGAGGTGATGCTCCAGGGTCATAAGCGGACACTTTTCTTCCTGACGCTTGACGGGGCTGAGCTACTTCCTCCCACTCAGTTTTCTCTCCTCCTAACCCGCTCCTCCCGGCCCGGCCCTCCGCACCAAAGGGAGAGGGACGAACAAACCAACAAAAACCCTCCTGCTTCCTCAAGTAGCTAGCATGTGATTGACTTTTTCATAGCATATCATTAGTCCGTGAAACGCGGGTATTTACTCCACTGCTTTACATTAATGGAGGTCAGTAGGCTTAACGATTTCCTCACTCAAGTCGTTTGTTCCTAAGCCAATAGATAATGCCTTCGTCATAGTTTTCTGGGGGGAAAGTAACTGTGCGTTTGTTCTGCAGATGGCCACCTCCCTCTGAATCCTGCAGATTGGTGCTGAGCACGCAACAAAAGTTTGTAGCTTCTCAGTTTCTGGTGCTTCGCAGGGGAGAGGAAAGGACGTTGGCATTAAACACAAGAAGCAGTCAGGGGGCCATCTCCTTTAACTTTTTTCCTCTGTTACCATTTGCAATGAAGAGGAAACAGAAGAGATTTCTACAGATGACTTTGTTATTCATGGTGGCTTTAATTTTCCTGCCTAACGTTGGTCTCTGGTCTCTGTACAAGGATAAGCACCTGGTGAAGTCTACAGAGCCGGGGGAGCAGCAGGTAAGTGCCACCCGGAGAAAGATCACAGGAGGGTTGGTAAGGCGGGTCACCCTGGCCCTGGGACAGGAGCAAGCAGGGCTAGGATCGCCTTGGGTTTTCTAAGTTTTTACAGAGCTGATGGTACAGGACTCTAGAGACTTTGAGGTTTAAGCAAGTTGTTGTTTCAAGATCGCAGTGGATAATATGGTGAAATGTGAAATAAACTAGGAAAGAAGAGTAAGAGAGGTCAACAAGAGAAGATAAACTTTCACAGTAGGTCTTAGGTTGATTTTGGCTTGAGGTGGAGGAAAGCTAACTGTGCTTATTTGTGGAGGTGGGAGTGGGTTTGGCTCAAGTTCAGTTACAGGGATTGGTTTTTGCCTTCCATCTGGTTTGTCTGGATATGTTAAAGTGAATTGGGCCAACTAAATCATTAAAATTGTGAAGTGGTTCTTGAAAACCAAGTTTTAGTTCTCCGTATCTTGGTTGCAATTTTTGCGTGGCAACAGCTTTTTACCCTGTGGAAACTTAGTCTCTCTTTCATTTCTCCCGTCGCTAACTAAGGTGCCGTGGTAGGGTATACAAGAAGAGTTATTAAGAATGGCCATTCAGTTTCACAGTCTGGTGGTAAGAGTTTGTTGCTAACAGCTTTCCTTCCTGTTGGAAATATCATGTAGTATGATATGTTTTCTTTCTACTTAGTATATAATCTATTAGTATGTATATGGCTCATGACTTAACATGCATCAAAGTAACTCTCATTCTTAGTGAATAATAAGGCAAAATATTCTTCACAAAATGTCCATGAAAGTCAATATTGTTGCATTCCTTGTTTATTAATAAATAAAACAGCTTCTGTAATTTAACTTTTAACACTAGAAAGCAGCCTTCTTTATGATATTGATATAAGACTTTTTCAGTTAGTCCTGTGTATCACCTTGGGATATTAATATTCTTAATTTCAAGGGTCATCACCCATGTGCACTGTGTTCCTTCTAACACATAGAAAATGTTTAAGTAGTTCATTTCTGGATAACAGCAATGTATATAATGACAAATATTTATTCTTATATTTCACAAAGTTTTTTTTTTTTTTTTTTTACACAGTGCGTGGTGAGTTGTGAAACATACAGTGGTAATCTGCTTTTTTATTATTTCAAGGAGTCATTATTAGTCTTTAAACTTTAAAGATAACTAGTTGCCTATGGATTTTGAAATGATTGGAATTTTGAGGAAAGATATTGACATAATTTCATTTAGTTGTTGATTTCTATCATTCTTTCTAATAGAAATTTATTTTGGTCGGAAGTATATTCTGTTTTGCCATCCCAGTAGAAAAAAGATGTGCACTTTGGATGTGAAACT